CTGTGCCCCAGGCCCCATAGCGGCTGCGTGGGGAAAAATAGGTATTCTGCCCTGCCAGATAGGGGTGTGCTGTGACAGAGCTGAGTATACTGGATGGACAGAAATCTCACCAACAGGTCTGAATGCTTCACCATATCAATATAGATTGTTATCGGAAAGCAGTATGGGCAACATTTAAGAGAACCAGTCAATACTGGTTTTATGGAAATATCAGATAATTATATGGTTATGACGCAGGCTTGCTTATAACAGATCATAGAGATAGATCAATATATATATATACACACACTCACCACCAACTTTATTAGGTACACCTGTTCAATTTTCTTGGTAACACAAATTGCTAATCAGCCAATCACATGGCAGCAATTCAATGCATTTAGGCATCTAGACGTGGTGAAGACGACTTGCTGAAGTTCAAACCGAGCATCAGAACGGGGAAGAAAGGGGATTGAAGTGACTTTGAACGTGGCATGGTTGCTGGTGCCAGACGGGCTGGTCTGAGTATTTCTGGGATTTTCACGCACAACCATCTCTCGGGTTTACAGAGAATGGTCCGAAAAAGAGAAAATATCCAGTGAGCGGCAGTTGTGTGGCTGAAGATGCCTTGTTGATGTCAGAGGTCGGAGGAGAATGGGCAGACTGGTTGGAGATGATAGAAAGGCAAAAGTAACTCAAATAACCCCTCGTTACATCCAAGGTCTGCAGAATACCGTCTCTAGATGCACAACACGTCCAACCTTGAAGCAGATGGGCTACAGCAGCAGAAGACCACACACCGAGTGCCACTGCTGTCAGCTAAGAACAGGATACTGAGGCTACAATTCGCACAGGCTAAACAAAATTGGGCAATAGAAGATTGGAAAAATGTTGCCTGGTCTGATGCGTCTCCATTTCAGCTTTCAGATCCTCTGCTGGTGGCTTTCACTGACGGCTGAAGACGAACACGCCGCTGTTCGGATCACTGACAGTAATCTGTGCAGCAGCGCGTTCCTCTCCACAGAGTCAATGAGAGCCAGCAGCGGCAGTGGAGGAGGAGGCGGGGCACGTGGTTGGCAGCAGGGGAGGAGGCAAGGCCCGGTGACGAAGGAGGCGGGCGCGGCGACGGAGGAGGCGGGGCCCATCAGCGACCGTGGACGCGGACAGGTAAGGAGTGCGACCAGCCCACCTGAGGGTGACCCTGCATAGCCCACCATAGAGAGTCTATGGTGGGCTCTGCAAGTTCACCCTCAGATGGGATCTCGAGTGGGCTCTGCAAGGGGTATAACTAGAAATCACGGGGCCCCATACAATATTTTACTATGGGGCCCTTTGATTTCTAGTTACGCCCCTGCATGGATCCATCCTGCCTTGTATCAACGGCTCAGGCTGGTGGGGGTGGTGTGCTGGTGGGGGTGGTGTAATGGTGTGGGGGATATTTTATTGGCACACTTTGGGCTCGTGATGCTATCATGTCAATATGGACCAACATCTCTGAGATATGTTTCCAACACCTTGTTGAATCTCTGCCACAAAGAATGAAGGCAGTTCTGAAGACAAAAAAGGGGGTCCAACCCGGTACTAGCAAGGTGTACCTAATAAAGTGGTGTGTGAGTGTGTGTCTGTCTGTCTGTGTGTAGAGGAAATACTAGCATTACCTAGTAATTACATTGTATTACCAAAGTGTAAAATTGGTCAAACTGTCAGACATTAACCCAAATTTCTCCAGGATGCTGCAATTGTTTGAAGAAAACATATAGTGGAGCAGTTGAGCGCCCCCACAGTCGCAGACCAGTACAGATTTGAATCTATTGCCAGCACACAAGTCCTGACAAAGTGGGAGTTGGGGACCCCTAAAACACGTTTTACTTTTTGCATCATGCCTAATAAAAAAAACGTTCCTGGACTCATCCAATCATTGTGCGTTCTCATCCTTCCAACACTTTACAGTACACGTTGCATGTCCTGGTCCTATAGACTGCTTGATGTAAAGCATTAGAATCTACGATGACCTCTTAGGGTATGGACCACTGAGAACTTAATGCAGACCACCATATAGCCTGGTAGAAGCTTGGGTAGCCTATAGCAAACATGCTGTGAAGGATCACTGACGCCATGAATTGTTGCATGGAGTCTGTGTCCATGGATTACATGCTTGCTGTATGCTACCAACACCTCCACCAGGCTTGATGGGCCATAGGGTGGTGCATATCATTATGTCATTCATATTGCATGATAAACGTCTCTCCATTTTGGGGTGTGTTTAGGTTTTGAAGTGATTCCATATAAACATATTACAATCTATACAGGAAAACATTGTTATTAATGATGAAACCTTACAGGGAAGAAATGTACATCAAGCGGATCCCATTCACGTATCATCTACAAGCATTATAGAGGCCGCAGTTCCCCTTTAATGGCTGAGCCGCTCTCCTCTTACCTTCCATAGCCGGCAGCTCTTTACAATGCAGACAGCACGGAGCAGTTGGTGTTCTTGATTACCGCATTTTATTCACAGCTATGTAAAGCGTCTAGCCTGACTCCTAATAATCTGTTTACCCAAATGAACAGCTTCTATTTTGGCCCTCGTATTAATAGAGTCATGAACTTCCTTTTGAAGCACAGATTAAACGGAGAGCTGGAAGGAGCAGGCTGCATATTAATGGCTGGGACCTGAGCAACAGAACATGGCGACTACATCATAATAGAATGTAAAGAGGCAACTACACAATATAGAAGGGGATTTGTGGCTGTGTATGTACGGGTTCCCAATGCCCTGAGCAGTCACTTAGGTTAGAATGATATACATAACTGATAAATGAACAGCAAGAGGTCCATTTATAACCAAATTACAGAGCCATTAGCCCTATAAATGTTTCCACGCATTTGTTCTGTGCAATTAGACTCAAAAAAATAAATGTTCTCGGCTATATTTTTCTTTTCATGACAAATGTACGTAATGTAATACTGCATTTTGCCCACCAGATGGTGCTGAGGAGCATACAGGCCACAATGCAGTATTACATTACATTACACTCGACCTGAAAAGAAAATATACTAAGAATGTTTGCTTTTGCCTCTTTTTGCACAGAATGAACGTTTACAGAGATTTGCAGGATGAAAGGCTCTGTGACTTGCTTATAAATTATTATTATTATACAGGATTTATATATTGCGCCAACAATTTACAATATAGGGAAGACATTACAGTCACAATACAATTCAAGACAAGATGGTAAGGAGGGCCCTGCCCCTGAGGGTTTACAATCTAAAAGGGAGGGGCAAGTGATACATGAGGACCTCTTTAAGTGGACAGATGATAGCAACATATTTTGCCATATGTGCCAAATCTGAATTGGACCGCTCTGTTTGAGCTACGGGCAGCTAAACTTTCATCCAATCAATTGCAAGTAGCGCACCCTGCTGGTTGATTGACAGCAGCTTTCACCATTTACTAGCTGTCACTGCTTGTAACTGTCACTTTACTTGGACAGCTTGGCCTGTTACAGGAAGATACTACTGGCAGGATCAACAGGGAATAAAATACTGCTACAGGCAGGGCTAAAAATAAAAAACAAAAACTGTTAATGCTATTTTTATGGCAAATGGAGGGGAGGCACTGGAAATGTTTCGCCAAAATGATGCAAAACAAAGTCCTTAATGTATTCATGAGGCTCTGCACAAAATGAGTATCCCTTCAGGGGGCGGGGTCACACAGGGTGAGAAGTCTAAGTGTAATTGAAAAATAGAGCCAAAAATAAGTTCAAAAGTATTTAATTTATTCCTCTAATGACAAAGGAAAAATGGTGGCAGTCGTGTTTCGGGAGCCAAACAAACCCCCAAAAAACCTTTATCAAGGCTTAAGTACTTATCAATATATTAAACAGCACTCAAAGCATAGATACCGGGTGATTCAATCCACACCGAGAGGCTGATCGGAGGATGGGTGCCAGAGCAGCATGTTTGTCTGAATCCCATTTACTGTACATACTGCAGAATATATGTTGTTGTATTTATTTTCCCTATAGCTCCACTTTGAAGTGACACAAACCGGAGAACTATGCGGTAACCTTTTTATCCCATAGTTCTCTTTAGGGTCACAGGAAGACATACACTAATGTCGTCCGTTAACCCAAAGCTCAGTATATAGCAAGCTATTGCCCGCTATATACTGAGAGCGCCGCAGCCGGGACGGATCCCAACAATACTGTCTAGATCCACCCAGCTGGCTGATTGACAGCGGGCTCTGCCTACCTAGAGGCAAAGTCAGCTGTGCCTGCCTTCTCCCGCGTCCGATGCTCTAGTCAGTGCTGGAGGATCGGAGAGGGGGGAATCCTTGCGTGGAGAGGTGACTGACAGTCACCGCTCTCTGCAGGGAGATGATCGGGAAGTGAGTGAGCGACTGTATGTGTTCGCTCATGTCCCCATTTATAGAGCCGACCTGTGACAGTTTCAATGTCACATGTCGGCTCTAACTATGACGATGAATGTAAATCACTCCCCTCATAGCTCTCCTTTAAATCTTAAAAATAATTCAAGGTCCTGAACTATTAACAACAATGTATCTTATTTGTGTATCGCTCGGCTGTAGATCCTCCAATCATCTCTGGATTGGGGCTGACGCTGTCCTTCCTTTTGGAGGGTGACTACTTTTGTTCCCCATGGTCCCTGTGTGTGTGTGTGTTGTAAAGTAGTCACCGCTCCAAGCTCACTCCCGTGAAGGACTACAATCTCATGTTTAGTTTACTAATTTGTACTGAGGTTGTAGTCCATCCCGGGAGTGAGCCTGGAGCGGTGACTACTTTACAACACACACATGGACCATGGGGAACAAAAGTATCCCCCCTCCAGAAGGAAGGACAGTGTCCGCACCAATTCAGAGATGATTGGAGGATCTACAGCCGAGTGACACACCAATAAGATACATTGTTGTTACTAGTTAAGGGACTTGAATGTATTTTTAAGATTTTACTCCTGAGTTTAGTGTCACTTTAGCCTGAATTAGTCTTACTACCTCTTACCTTTTTCACTGTCTTGTCCGGCTCTAGAGCAATATCCGGGATGTTGGCATCCACCATCAGCGAGAACAGATTGAGGATCAAGTTTGAATACCTGAAAAATACAAAAGATAAAAACCTTAATGAAATCTTACACATGTTACAATTTAAGAAGAAAAAAGGAACATTGACTGCTTAGTGTGCCACAAATAATCTACAGAACATGGATGTTCTTGATTCAGGGCCCGGTCACACCATTAGGAATGCGTTCAAGTGCGTTCGGCATCTGGAACGCACTGAAACGCAACCCGGCCGGCTCAGTTTTTTGGGGGGCGGGCCTGGCGCTGCATTGAACTCAATGGTCCAGCAGCCACGCCCCCTGCCCACGATGAGATCGTCGGCACCTGAATGCGTGGCACAATGGTGCCTGCGTTCCAGTCCAGTGCGATCTGCAAAAAATAGTGATTGCAGCATTTTTTGCAGATCGCACTGGAAAGTATCACCTTTGCACTTTAAATAAGCCATTGAAGGGCAGATCGCACTTCAATAGCTTATTGCTGGGTTTCAGGAGCCCAGCACTGACAGGAATTGATGCAATCCGCGTCGCTCCCGGTCCCATAGAACAGGGAGACAGGCGAATGGATGTTCGCCGCTCTCCTCCCCAGCTTCCCGCCGGCACCTGACATGCCGGTCCTGGGCCCGCAGGAGGGGCAGCAGAGCGTGAGAAACACGGCGGGGGTGCCGGGGGGGGGGGCACTTTACCTGCCCATAGAAGCGATCTGGCGGCAGCAGGCTTTACAAAGGTAAACAAAGTCCCGGCGGCTTTGTTTACAGGGCTGTGCTGCCACTGACGTACTAGGTACATACTAGGTCGCGGTCGCATAAGGGTTCAACCGATCACACTGATATGGGCGGTAATATGAGTGCATGGCAACTTTATAATTCTTGTTTCCTTTACCCCGGGTCCCGGTAGGCCTCCCTTGAAGCGTTTTTAACTCTGACACAACAAGTATAAAATCAGACGGGTCTAGTGAAACTCCGGAATGATTGTATATACCTTCCCTGTTTCCACGGAAACCCGAAAACTTCTGAGGATTTCAACAATCTTTACCTAATCTCTCTCATTACAGAACTGACAGTACAGCGCTGCATGATGGAATAAAGGTCAGTTAAAGTACCGCAGCGCTGAATACTGAAAAATGGCCTGGATGGGAAGGGGGTTTAACACCGCGGATGTCAACTGGTTAAGGAACTGTGTCTGGAGACAAACTGTCGCTCAACACTTTTCCCTTTAATGGCAGGTAATCAAGAATCGGGATTGGTAAGTGACAGCGAAGGAAGGGGAGAGGATTGCGTCTTCCTCAGTTATTCACTTACAAAAACTAGAGGTTTTAGAAAAAAATGCCCTTTATCTCTCGTATTTCCACATCTCCCAAACAATCACCCTCCAGCTCCCTCTGAAAACCACTAATAGTGTGCAATCGTCTGAAGATTTGACTTCGATATGTGACTAATCTATGTAACAATAACCTGACTGGCCTTCCTGAAGTGTTCAAATCTGTGTTGTTTAGGCATATGCTCCCGCCATCTGCAGGACAATAATCAGCGCTGCACTGTGGTCACTTTACTGCTGCACACCTGGCCTAAATTAGTAGAGCTTAAATTAGGACCAAAACACTAAATTAGTGCCTGATCGAAGGCATGAGTATTCTGACCAGTGTACTCAGATGGCGCACTCTGGTTAAACCTTGAAGCATTCTCATTCTCATTCTCTGCCTTTTATCTGCCCTGACCTTCAAATTATTTCTTGACTACACTTATCTACTACCAGTCCTTGAACTCTATTTTGTTCTTGTGTGAACTATTGTCTGTTGTCATCTAGACAAACCTGAGTGCTACACTATGGTGCTGTCTTCAGGCACTGTGCATCACTACCAAGCATGAAACAGAGCCGGTACATATCATGACCAACTATGGCTGCCCAAATCCCTTTGGTCATGTGAAGAACCAGAGATCTGGTTGGCTCATCAGGAAAATGTAAGTACCTCAACACTTCTGGCTGGCATACTATTATCTATCTACACGCCAACATGCATGCTAGCACCCCTTCTGGCCCATGGATATTCACCTCTTTAGTAATCCCAAGCCACTCTTCCCTCCATCACAGTTGGTTCAGAAAACCATGCATAGGGGAGCACGTGACCCCTGCCATGATACTGTCACGATCTGGATCAGGCTCGGAGTCCAGAAGCTGAAACAGCAGGCAAATTTGTGGTATAACAGGCCGAGTTCGGTACACAAGCAGATGGTAGTAGAATAGGAGCAGGCAGAAGCGTAGTCAGAGATCAAGCCGAGGTCAGTAGCCAAAGGTATCCGGTATGAAGTGGAAGACAATGAGAGTAGTCGGGTAATCAACAGCCAAAGGTCGGTACCCGGGTAGCAGAATGAGATTGTATCACGGAAGGAGCAAGGAAGCAAGGTATTGGCAGAAGCACAATAATCTGGCAAACAGGAAGTGCAGAGGCATGGCTTAAATAGGAAGTTCAAGGGAGGAGCAAGGAGTTCAGAGTTCAGTAGAAACTAGGTTTACCCGAGGATTACACAGAAGATCAGGCAAGAAGCTGTCCAAGGTGGCTCAGCAAGTAGAACAACTCCCAGCTACAGCTGAGGCCCTGGGTTCAGATCTCATTCCTGACAGATACAGTGGTCAGTCACTAGGTTTGAGCACCATCACATTACAGAGAAGGTGACACCACTGCTCCATCTAGGCTTTGATAACAGTCAACATTATGGTGGTGGTGGCTGTGATGGAGGAAATGGGGGGGGGTGATTTTTCAAAGATGCTGTCACCTTGCCCGTTCAGGGCTGTGTCTCTTTAAATTAGTTGAGTTATTCTAGAAGCTGAGAGTTTTAATGTGCACATCATCAGCTAATTATTTGACTCCGGAGCACTTTTACAAGACAGGAGTACATATACTAGCTACCAGGTTGATGAGCAAGAGCAGGTCAATACTATATCACATATACCCCACCCCGGACGTCTCTGACAGCGCCATGCCACGCTGAACTTTCCGCGGCTGTATAACTGTAACAGACCCTCTGCGAGGCGCCATCAAGGCCCGCTGAGAAAAGGGTATTAATTATTAAGATAATTAAAGTATGAAGTGTTATTGGATTGTATCCGTTGTATCGTCTGGTATATTTAAAAGGCCAGGAAGCTAATTATTTTAGCACGGCTCGTGTAATTACAGCAATAAAATGAGCGGGGCCTCAATTACGCGGCGAGTCTTTTGTTCGGGACTTTTCATTGTAAATTACAGCGGATTTGCTTTTTATTTTTTGCAGAAGCAGCACTGTCAACAATAAAGCGCTTGTGGGAGTCTAAGCACAGGAGAGCCGTGAACATGCACTACAGTGAAGGTTTATTAAAAGGAATGCTTCGTTCTCTAAGCGGAACTGGAGGATTGTGGGAAAAAGAGATGGTGTGCAACAGCTGCAGTGTCCCCACTGGCTCTAAGTATTGGGAAGAGTACATTTTTCTCTCCCAATATTTCTCCTATAAACTGCCTTTATATAAGCTTCCTGCAATTACCTCTAAAGCAGGATTCAGCCTGGGAGATGGGCGACCGTCAGCAGAAGTCGATTGGGGCTCTAGTGCCTTGATCAACGATGTCACTGCACATGCTTACAGGAGGAGTGAGGGGATACAGGGATGATGCTGCATTTTCCACGAGAGGGATGGGATACAGGGATGATGCTGCATTTTGCACAGGAGTGATGGGCTACAGGGATGATGTTGCATTTTGCACAGGAGTGATGGGATACAGAGATGAAGCTGCATTTTGCACAGTAGTGATGGGCTACAGGGATGATGTTGCATTTTGCACAGTAGTGATGGGGTACAGGGATGATGTTGCATTTTCCACAGTAGTGATGGGGTACAGGGATTATGTTGCATTTACCACAAGAGGGATGGGGTACAGGGATTATGTTGCATTTTCCACAGTAGTGATGGGATACAGGGATGATGTTGCATTTTCCACAGGAGTGATGGGATACAGGGATTATGTTGCATTTACCACAAGAGGGATGGGGTACAGGGATGATGTTGCATTTTCCACAGGAGTGATGGGGTACAGGGATGATGTTGCATTTTGCACAGTAGTGATGGGATACAGAGATGAAGTTGCATTTTGCACAGTAGTGATGGGGTACAGGGATGAAGTTGCATTTTGCACAGTAGTGATGGGGTACAGGGATTATGTTGCATTTACCTCAAGAGGGATGGGATACAGGGATGGTGTTGCATTTTTCACTCAGCAGGCTTGAGGGCAGAGTGGTGACCAAGGAAGCAGAACTTTGGCAGCCATCTTTTCCCATGGTCACCCATCAAATGGGTTGAAATTGTGTACGCAGAGGATGCTTAAAATTAACGTAAAGTATATATTTTTCTGCTCTAACACCTAGGGCCAGCATAAAAATAAAGTTCCCCCAGCATTGTCAGAATTTTTTTTTTTTTTTACGACTCCCGGTGACCATTACATTCAAAACAGCCATTCCTGAATGAAGGTTCATCTCTCCATCATTAGACGTGGGTGGGGTGGGGAGTCACCGGTCTGAAAATTAATACAGCATGGCGGAGCTGCTAATCCATAACTAGTGACAGTTATAGACAAAGCGTTATTATATCTTCACTGCCGAAGACAAAGCGCCTTCCCTGCTCCATATCAGTATTGGTAGAAATGGATGGCTCTCATTACCCATCATTCATGCTTCATTACATAGTAATTAGGAATAATTGCAGCTCAATCTCCTCCATGTGTATTCATATATGCATGAACATAGCTGCTCTATGAATAAACTATGGGGAAATGGAGGAAACATTAGGTGACAATTAGTGAAAATGATTATGTAAATGTGTTACAGGCGTTACAGGTATATGACCGTCCAGACTGAAGATATAGAAGGGTGCAGTCTACTTTATCAGGGCTTCAGTATTAATCCAGGCATTGCTATAATGCTCACATCCAGCTACTCCATTTTGTTGGTAGTCTTTGGATCTGGCAATCCAGTTTGCTTATCTTCTACGAATGCTAGCTGCTATGCTGACTTCCTATTACATCCTACAACACTCACTCATACCCACTGTTGGTCAACCTCCCAGTAACCCTGAGGGCTTGTTCACACCAAATGCAGACCAGATCTGCATGAGTTTCTGCACACGCCGTGCAGTGTGTTTTGCTGCGTTTTTGACACGTTAGGGGCCGTTTTTGCTTAAAAAAAACCAAGCAACTTTTTGTTTTTTTAGTTTAAAATGGGCTTTCAGTGCGTTCCAGGGCATTTGCATGCATTTGTGATGCACTTGCATGCGTTCCAGAGCAGGTAAAATAGGGCTTGCTGCAGTTTTTTTTACATGCTCTGGAACTGAACGCTGCGGTGTGAACTAGAGCCAAAAATTTACCATTGGAATACATTGGACGCAGTTTTGATCCGGTCTGTAACTGCTCTGCACTGCTCCTGGAACGCAATTGGTGTGATCTAGGCCTGAACTGGAATGTGGGCAAGCACTTCTAGCCGTGCCCATGTTCCATCCCGATGATCTGGATGCTGGTGCTTCATTGCTTAAAGTTTAGATGTGATGACATTGACAAGAGAGGTAGCAACAGGATTGGTCACAGACAAGAATGGACCAGTGGACTGGTCATGACAACCAGAAGCAGCAGATAGGAAGAACATGAGGTCAAGGATTTGGGTAATAGTAGAAGTTAAAAACGTTATATTAAAACAAAAATCAAGTCAGAGAAACAGCCTTTGAACGCGGGATGATTGTTGGCGCTCGGAGCCATGGAGCGATATGTGTATATATATATACACATATATCCGTAGATGGGCTTTAAAGCCGAATTATGGAACAAGCCCATTTCTCTACCTAAACCTCTCTTCTTCCCATGTACACCAAAAATTCTCACAATTTACAGTAGACCTTTACCTCCTTTCACTAAAAATCACATCAGCATGCAACTCTGACTGCTGATATGAAATCATCTTATATTCATTAAACAAACATTTTTTTTGTTTTTAATTACAATGACTGTTTTTCCACCTTCTGGTTGAGTGAGGCACTGGTGATGTAGCCGTGGCTTCAGAGATGCATCCCGGCAAGACTACATCACCAGTGCCTTCCCGGTGAAATCCAATCTGTGAACTGCAAAATGTCACATTAGCATAGACTGTCCCATCAAAGTCAATGGTTGTGTACCAGTAGGAAAAGACCAGGGTGATCAAGATCGGGATTATCCCCAAACCAGATTGGTCCACTATAGGCAGCGCTCATATAAAGGTTTCAGCGCTGCCTGGAAATAACTAGTATGGGCCAGCTGCAAGATGAGTTGCCTGCTTAAGGAAAGCAAGCAGCAATCAATCAGTCATCAGTACCAGCAATGGCCGCTCTGAAGCTGTTAACTGCACACTTTTAAGGATGTTGTCTACAAGCAATGCTGCACTATATAAGCCCCACTTTGTGCTCTGTGCCCCATTATCCCCAAATCAACTCCCCTCTCGTAGCAGCCCTCCCCAGCTGTATTTTATGCTTTATAGTTTTTATGCTCAGCTTGTCCAGACATCTTCAAGCTGGTCAAACAAATCTGCAGGGCCTCTATGCCTCTTCTCCAAGCTGGGTGGGCATCACTGATGTAGAAAGCAGTGCTGATATTCCAATGTACTGCAGCAGGCATTGTAGAGTAGAGGGTAGAGTAGAGTAGAAGGCATTGTAGTGTTTTTTTCATGGAGTAATTTTTTTAAACATTTTTTTAAGAAAACCCCAAAATTTGTCCAGAATTGGGATTTAAATAACAACAACTAAAGATTGTGGTAAGGTAGGACGGTACTTTGGTAATGGCAGTATATTTGTGCCCCCCGAACAAAGAAGAGTGGGTGTCCCGGTTGTCCCCAAACAAGGTGTGGGTTGGACTGACGACAGCAATGGCAGGATGAAAAAACGAAGCCGCAAATAAGAAGGCCGCTTACCACATCGTACAACAGCTCAGGTTCAACGTTTTATATCAATTTGAATAGCTTTTCTATGTGGCAGACTGATTTTACCGAAACAAACCAATAATCACCTGAAAACCAATAATCCTCACGTATTTTCCTGCAGTCAGTCCCCGGTGACAGTAATATTTATGACTTCTACACAAATGCCACTCATTTGTTCAAATAGGATCGTTTCCTTCTTAAGAGGCTTATCCTGTCTACAACAAATACATGTTTTAATACGTTTCTTGTTTACGAGATGCCTTCCACAGGTGAGCGTTGCCAGCTTATGAGACAATGCTAATAAATCTTAAAATCCCAGCAAACATTTACAAGCAAAGACGCTTGAAACTGAGGAAAAAAAAAAGACAATAACAAGGGAAAGAACTGCATTTGTGTACCGCTATGAGAGTTTTGTAAGCCAATGAGCCAACACCAAAGGCCATAAATATGCTCCACACACCCAACAATTCCACCTAGAATTGATACTCAGCAGCTGGCAGAATATTGACAAGTCATGGAAAGCCAAGCCCCAGTAACAAAGTGAGAGGGGGCATGGAAAATAATTTCTAATGTCTAATAAAGCTAACGGTAGGAGTCGTGTGGTCTCGGCTCCTATGCATGACTTTCACTTCTAAGCAGACCAGTCACCAGACCTCACTTTAATTCACAATTGAACCCAGAGTTGTGTGATACACGCCAGAGGTTCCAGGTAGAACATATTTGAAGTTTGTCCGGGAATAATAAAGCTTTACAAGCGTTGGATGTTACAGTGGGCTGCCAGTTTTCTTTTTACAGTTGAGGGGGAAGACAAGCACCTTCTTGGCATCTGCACCCTGCCAGTTGAGGAAGTGATCCACAAGACGACAGTGAACAATAAGACATTTTAACTTGTAAAGTGAGAGGACGACACAGAAAATAATGTCTAACAAAGCTACCAGAAGGGGGGTTTTCTACTCTTATGCAAGACTTTCACTAGTAAAGAGACCCTGTTACCAAAACAAACTTAAAATGAAGATTAAAGGAGAACTATGGGGTCAGTGTTTTTCCCCATAGTTCTCCTTGGGGTAACGGGAGGACACAAACTAGCGTACTCCTGTCACCCTAGGCTCAGTATATAGGGAGCTACAGCTCACTATATACTGAGACGCCGCAGCCGGAGCGGATCCGTCTTAGATGGCGGGATCTGCCCAGCTGCGTGAGTGACAGCTGGCTCTGCCTATCTAAAGGCAGAGCCAGCTGTACCCACCCCCTCCCCTGTCCGTTCCGCCAGTCAGCGCTGGCAGATTGGAGCGGGGAATCCAGCCCCTCCCCCTGTCACGGCAGAGAGCCGTGACAGGATCGAGAGGTGAGGGAACCCGGTATGTGTTCTCTTCACTTCCCGATCTACTGAGCCGACCTGTGACAGTCTCATTGTCACAGGTCGGCTTAGAACTATGAGGTGAGTGGAAATCACTCATGTCATAGTTGTCCTTTAAGCCCAGTGTTGGGTGAAATGTGGCAGCGCATGCGGTCCCAGGTGGGGCTTCTTTGAAGTTTGTCATGGAATAATACAATTTTACAAGCTTTGTAAGTTACAGTATGTTGCTGCCTGTACTACCCTGGATGTAGTGACAGTTTCGGGTGATGACGAGTGTGATGGACCCCCGTACTCAGGATGAGTATGTCCGCCTTTGTAGTCTTTCTTGCTCAGGAGATATTGCACCCCAATGATCTTTAGCACCCAGTCACTATCCGGGACCAAGGGTAGGGTGAAACAAACTATGATTTATTGAGCAACTGTGCAACCTTTTATACACAAAGTGATCAGATAAGATTGTAATCCCATCACATACACCCTGCCCTCCCCAGACATTATGACTGCACAACCTCGCAGGGGTCCAGCTGCTAAAGAGCTCCAGACAGCCATAGAAGGAGTCTGACCAGACGTAGGAGAATGTCATTGTCCTGAGCTCCTTGGGAATACAAAGAGAGCTAACAGAGGGGAGTGGTGATAAACAGGTTACACGGTATAACATACTTGAAAAAATAACCCAACACCAATACACACATAACCCATAAACTGATGACCATGTCTTCACAACGAGCTCCTGCTTCCCTTTTCCACCCGGTTAAGAAAATGCTCCTCAAGAGCACAGTGAACAATGGTAAACTTATACTTGTAAGGTGAGAGTGTGGGAACAGAAAATTATTTATAAAAAAAAAGCTACCAGCAGGGTTCTTGTGGTTTCTGCTGTTATGCATCTTTCAGTTCCAAAGAGACCCCGCCTCCAGACCCCATTTTACTCTTGCAGCAGTAGAGGACAATGACTACCTATATTTTGCCCTCAACATTCCTTTTATGTGATGCGGGATACTGAGCAAAATAAAAAAAATGACCAGTGCTGCAGTCTGTCACCTTGTCAGATATTGGTCTCTCACTAAATTTTAGTACTGTGATATGGTGCAATTCTTTTTTCTATCCCTTTTTTTTAATCCTTGTTCTCCCTTTCATTCTGCTTTTTTCCTATGGTTAAATAATCAAAAAACAACCTGAGTGTGCTAAACATCAAATCACTGTGTAGTCTGGCTCTCCATGCATATTTCTATTGGTTTTTAAAAAAACATTGTAAATCTTGGTCCATCTAACCAAACATCCGCTCCATGAACTATACTTTGCAATCATCGCTCAGCTCCCCCTAGAGGTAGCAGACATTAAAAGGTACATTATTAATATTATTATTATACAGGATTTATATAGCGCCAACAGTTTGCTCAGCGCTTTGTGACATTACCTGCGGAGGTGGAGGAACGCTGTGTAACACTGCTTGCGGAAGGCTTGGTACTGCTCGCTCTGTGTGCCTCCCATTCCTTCCACCATCTCCTTGTTCAGCTTCATGGGTGGCGGCAGAGGCTTGGGGTCTCTTCCCAGGATATACCCGAAATCAATGTGGAACAATTTCCCTGGAAATACAACGAGACTGTGAGAATAGCAAACAATCCCACATCATCACATGAAGCTATGGTGCCACACTGTACCTTTAGGCCTGGTTCACATCTTGGCGTTTTACAGCGCTGATCGACACGCTGTAAAACGCTCAAACAGTGAAATCCCATAATGTGCTATTGGCATGGTTCCCACCTGGGCGTATTTCAGCGCGTAGTGACGCGCTGAAATACACCCTACGCCCAAAATAGTACAGGAGCTTCTTTGGGGCGTTTTTTCTGCGCGTATCCATTAGGATACAGTCTGATAGATTTCGTAAACGCGCGTTTCGTTGACCGCAAATCGCGGTAAAAACGCACGGCCCGAAACGCATATTACGAACACCCAAGTGTGAACCCAGCCATAGGGTGCCTGTCTGATGTCCAGATCTGCTACTGCAACCCCCAACACCACCACCTAAAAAGATGCTATCTTCTGCATATCTGACAATGGACCTATGCAGAAGGCTAGGGACCACTTCTCATGTGAGCACTGCAATGTAAAATTACCCTATTTCCAAAAGAAGGGACTTGCATGAAGGGCCTTGGCCTGTTTGTCTGAAAATGGGCAAATGCAGAAGGCTATGGACCACTCCCCCATGTGAGCACTGCAATGTGCAATTGCCCTATTACCAACATTTTTAAAGGGTCTACTGTAGAGGTAAAAAAACACAAAACAAGCTACGATGTGGCACAGTAGGGGGCAAACTATGCAGCTGTGAGATTGTTCAACCTTTGCTTTAAATCAGATCTAAACCCAATCACTAGGATCTCATAAGCTTTAACATGTGATATAAAAAGTCATCTTTAATCCATTTAAATAGGCAACTTTCATTACAAATAACACCTGACAATCCTGCCATGAAGCTCCTTGTTCATGCACTTCCTGTTATAGGATGATAACTATCTGCCAATTGTGCTTCTGAACTGTCATTCTTTCACACACGACCCTGGTTGAGACTACAAGTGGCTGCTCGAACATACATTGCATGGGCATGGTCCGCTGTTGTTAATTTTGGGGGAAATTATGTAAATCTGATGATAGAACAAGTGCACGTAGACAGGAAGTGTCTGGAAAAAAGGCTGCTGGAGATAATCAGCACTGAGATGGAAAAAAAATGAAAACCAGTATTTTATGCAAAAAAAGATACACAATGCTTAAACTACACGTGATCCCGTTATGTTTGCTTAAACAGAAATATTTCTTCTAATACTGAACATGACCAGGCCACCTGTCGGTAAAAAAAAACAAATCACCGGCCAAGGGTCCTCTGGGAAAACAAACACATTTGAAAGTGTCCATCATGTTGGACCCCTGAAGTGTTCAATGGTTCACGCCACTGATCTCCACATCGCTACAGCACATTGACTGATTGGATTGATGGTTGATGTGGAGGTCGGCAGGAGGAACCAGTGAGCACTGAAGGAATCCAAGAAGATAGATACTCCTAGAAGAGGTAGATTCTCTGTAGACTTCATGGGATACGGGCAGCAAGAAAGGCAAGTATTCAGCCTTTTTGTAGAGGCACGTCTGACGGAGTTTTGTGGTTTAATGACAGGAACACTTTAAAAACCTAAATACATACCTGAAGCACAGACAATGCTGCACCACATCCTGTTTCCTCTTTGCAGGTTATCATCTCACTGGTGAAGTCCACTCTAAGCTTTCTCCCTCCTGAAAGCCCTAACCAAACTATCCCCAGTTGCCCCCCCCC